ACACACACACACACACACACACACACACACACACACACACACACACATATGTATATATGTGTGTGTATATATATATATATATATATATATATTGTCCCGATGCACCTCAACCAAACAGCGCGTGGTAAGCCGGCGGAACGACGAGTTCTATTTCATTCATGAAATCTACACGCTCCCATCAAAATATACGATAAAGAAATGGCGGCCGGTAAACCGCAATAATTCGAGTTATTGTTTAATAACGTACACTTAAATTTAAACCTTATTCCAACACATTATAGTTTAATTTGTTTAATGTTACAATCGTTGGCAGATGTAAAACTTTCTTAAAATAATGTAACAAAATTATTATAAAAGCAAATTAATACAAAATATGGTTAATTTCTATTTTGTAAATCTTAACGATAAATAGAGTTACATATGTATCTATATTTTTGGGTGTTTCTTTTAAATAGGACTACGTAACGAGTGTCGTAGAAGGTCATGGTAATTCGTAGGTAATTAAAATAGCAATACTTAGCATTCATGTGTTTGTTTACATACTTTCGTATCGCGACGGGGAGCTTAAAATGTGGTGAACTAGTGTCTTGTGTCATAATAAGTGTTATGTTTAAATGTCGCCAAGCGCATTTTTTAACCACCAAGAAAAATTTTCACGCCTCGCCACTGCTGCTTAGTATTGGGATTGAAGTGCATTCATATAAATATTGTACTGCAAACGTGAAAAAATTATAATACCATCACAAAGAGCAACGATGTGCAACAGGTAGCATTATTAGCTTCGTAGGTACAATCTAAGAATACAAACTCGAAACTAGACTTTTCTTTTGTAAAACCATGTTGATTTCAGAAATACCATTGTATCATAATACGTAATACTTAAAAATTACTTTCTCAACGAGACACTTTCATCGTGCAATTTTCAAAATAAATGCGAGGGTAAGTATATTAATATAATTAGACACCGACACTATCACAAACATTCAGAAATGTTTTACCGCTTATTTAAAATTAAAATGGTAATTTTGAAAACTGTAAAATATATTCATAGAAACTTTTCCAAACTTGATCCGTTCACGTTTACCAATGTAGGATTTTTACAGGATGGGTTAGTGGGGCATTTCTTATTTCGCGAAACTAAAGCATTTATAAGAATTAATTTAAATCATCAACCCATTTGTACGTCCCACTGCTGGGCACGGGTCTCCTTTCAGACGAGAGTCTAGGCCATAGTCCGCCACGCTGGCCCAATGCGGGTTGGGGACTTTACACGTTTTCCGAAGGTTGTGAAACTTCTTCCACGAGCAGGTTTCATCACTGTATGTTTTTTTTATGTATGTTACGCGATAACTCCGGTATTTGTGCACCGATTATCATGATTCTTTTTTTGTTGGAAAGAGGGTACCTCCATCACCATGGTGCCAAAATCCAATCATCAAAATTAACTGTCCCATTTAATTTTAAAGAAAGTCACCTCTGAGGGTCGTATTCTAGAACTCTACTCAATGCTCAAGTCAGGATTTGAGTATGGTTTAAAGCACTCGAAATCACACTCAAGTCCCTGCCATTAGAGTCGTATTTCCAGTGCTTGTGTTTCCAGTGCAATCCTGACTTGAGCATTGAGTACAGTTCTAGAATACGACCCTAAGAGTGGCTGTTCACGCATGAAGATTCATTTTTATAAATAGCGCCTAAATTTTATTCTAAGTAGCACTTATTTTAATGGTTGATTTTGCTATTCTCCAATTCAAGGCGTTTTTCTATATACTTTGAGTAGTGAGAACACAGGAGATAATAAAAATAATTATCTCCTGTGTCAAGTTCCGTATAGTGGCGAACTAGGGGATGAATCCGGGTGTGCGCACTTTCCGGTAACCGATTTCAATAAAACTTGGTAATTATATGTAATTCCACGTACTTTTGAGGTCAGTTTTGTTAGTACTCTATACTGACATTATCAGTTTTACGTATGTCAGTCAAATAATCCTATTTCGATTCGCTTGCTTTAGCGCAAAATTTAGTCTACATTTGATGATTAATATAGTGCTATGTAAATTAGGCTGGAAGTTCCAAAGCAGTTGTTCCATTGGGATAGCAAATATTTGCTACCTCGGTGCTAATTTTATATATATGTATATAGACAATAAAGTTATGGAAAAGCTTAAATAATCGAACTTTCAAGTGATGTGACGTACAAAATTTTTTGTATAACGTCAACGCATATAATCAATGGTTTTCTTGCTCTTTGTAACCAGAACTCTAGCACAGTATCATTTATTACAAATGGCCTTAACAGTAGATGCTTGATTTAAACGTAAAATTAAAAATAATTGTACTGCAAGTTAGTAGAATAATTATATGAAAAAGTTCTTAGTATAATTTACTTCGAAACGTGTACATGAGGCAACAATTTAACAAAGGTAATGCCGCGAATAAAAAAACTAAGTTTTAAAAAGTGTCTTGAAGTATTGAGCGATTTTGGTGACGCAAATACGTAAAGAAACCTACCCATGAAGTTTGTATTTTGATAAAGTTATTTTGAATACATTGAAACATTGCAGTTGCGTGCACCCTATCGCTAAACGTTTTACTCCGACAGCTGTAGATCGAACATAGATACCACGTATCCGACTCATAATAACCCAAACTTTTGGTCCGTTTATACAAAAACGTCAAATTCGAATATATATTTCATAGGCAATCAAATTACACACCAAATCGTCATATTGATTGAACAGTACAACTCATTCGTAAAGCAGATTCTCGTAGAGAAAAATGAGTACCAAACTCTAGAGGTTTGTAAATAGAGATTAGCTCTCAATATTTATTCAAATGTCATACACAGTAACAACCTGAAAAAGCTAAACGGGTTACTTCAATGGATTTTGTCATCCAAGTACGCAGAAGCTGTATAATAACCTAAAGCATATATATAATAACGTTAATGCTTCACTACAGATAGTTTTAAACTTGGTAAATAAATGGCAAATTTATAATATCGCCAGGAATTTTATTAAAGAAGCGTATACATCTAATGATGAATCAATGACTTTGTGACTACGACAGTCAAGAACGGCCAATTTATTTTTTGTACTCGTATTTATATACATTTAAATTTTAATAAGTTTCATCATCATCATCACCATCATCATCATCAACCCTTTTATAAGTCCCACTGCTGGGCAAGGGTCTCCTCTCAGGCGAGGGTTTAAGCCATAGTCCGCCAATGCGGGTTGGGGACTTCACACGTTTTCTGAGGGTTGTGAACCTTCAACGTGCAGGTTTCATCACGATGTTTTCCTTCACGGAAAAGCTCAGGATAAATTCCAAATTAAATTTCACACATAAATTCTGAAAACTCAGACGTGCGAGCCCGGATTCAATCCACGACCCTCTGCTTGGGAGGCAGTAGGTCAAACCATTAGGCTACCGCGGCTACTAATTTACTAATACTAATACAAGTAACTAATTTTAATAAGTTTATTGTACAATAATGTCCCATGGATATTCTTTATTAACCACGGCCAGGGTTGGCTGGAAGAGATATCTTCTAGAGATAAGCTCTCCTTTGTGTATGTCATTTGTTACATGTAAGTTTTAATGTCATTTATTTTCACAATAAAGAATTGTTATGTTACGTCTATCACTATTTATCATGAGAAAATAGTATTGTTATTAAGATAAATGACGTTTATTATAAATGTACTGTTGACGTTAATGTAAGAATGTTAATCTGTTTAAACTTATGTCACAGAGACATCTGGAACCCAGTTTATAAATTGCTCTGACAACACGTTTCTGCAGAACTATGATTCTATTAGTGAAGGCAGCATTGTCCCAAAGCTAAAAGCCGTGAAACCCGTATGTATGTACGAAAATAGTATGGTAATAGAAATCTTTACCAACTTCCTAAAATGAGCAGGTTTCCAATTGACGACGAAGGTAAAAAAACACTGAGTTTCAGTTACTACACAATACCTCAAACACAATTGCATTTCAATATTTAATTGAGCAAAAATATGTAGCGTATCATGCACACTAAGATATCACCAAATGGTTTGTGAATTACAATGCTTAATCGGAAATGAAAACCTTTCAACTCGATTGTAGGTAAGATTTTTGCGTATCTACTAATAAACAGGTGGAATATACTTTTGTAGTAAATTATTGCATTTCTTAAACCATAGTTTCCCAAAATGGTCCCCCTAGGACTCTTCAGCCCTCCAATGGGCGCTAGGGGAGCGGTAGGAGCCTGAGAAGCAATAGGGAGTACTACCACATTTGGAAAATACCTGAATTATCTACAAATATATAACTACAAATATACAATCTTTTCTTTATGATTTTTTGTGTTAAGTTAATATAAAAATACGTGTTTCCAATTATTTTTTGTCGCGGTGGGCGTTGAAATTTTTTCATCTTACCTAAGTGGGCGGTGAGTCAAAAATTTGGGAAATCTATGTCTTAAACGAATCACCTAATGTAACCAATGATTACGAGTATAATAAATGTTTTATACGACATACCTGCCACCCTCCGACGGCGCCCAAACCCTCAGCAACTCCCACCAAGGATAAGCAAGTGGGTCCAGCTGAGAATACAACGACTCGCGAAGCAGGGTCGTACGTCACTTGTTCTGGCGGCGGAATATCGTCGACTTTTGTTGTCACCGCGATCTCATTGGAATAGTTGCTCTGCCCTTTCGTATTTACTGCCTTCACCTAAAGCATAATTGATAGTCGTGTCAACACACTCCAATGAAAAAAGAAACTGTACAAAACTCTCTTTTCCAAGATTGTCACCCTCTGAAAAAGCCGAAAACGGTTGACGTGAAAAGGCCGTGCATGTTAAAACTTTCAGTTAGAGCTATTACTTATCAACCAAAAGACAAAATAAATTTTCAATACGTATAAGTCTGCCAAAATTTCACCATTCACTTTAATTTCTTTGAAAGTAACAGATATTTTTCGGTTTTCTTTAGTATTTCGTCGATGAATAGCTCTAAATGACTTCAGTAAAGTCGCATTGGCAATAGCAGCGCGTTCAACCCACCTTTTAAATGTTTACATTGAGGAAAATACGAAGCTCCCTGGTCTTAGCCATTTTTCGTAAGCTCGTTGGAGCAATAATTGAAAAAGTGTAAGCTTAGGAAAAAATATTGCGTTCTTAAATCATTTGTAATTTCCTTTGTGCGTGAAGCACAGCGCGAGATTAAGGAGAGCACGGATACACAGGCATCAATAAAAACACGATTTTTTCGGCAGCATCGAGTTTCTCCGGGAATGGTGAACAAATATTTGTTATACTAGAGAGTGTTGAACGCGTCGCCTGCCAATGGATAAAAAAGCGTGTAGGTGGCATCTACAGCGACGGCACAGAACATAAAACGTGAACATAACGGCGATATTAGCCGATGTTAATGAATTACCTTGAAAATGAACGTTTGGAGCTGTCGGTTGCGATAAATGAAAAATATAAAAGTAAATTAATACACAAACTCTTCCCTTAATACTCTGTTCATGTCTACGAATACAATCTCTGGCTTTCAGAAAGACAAGCTGTGAATACAGTGTATCCTGATCGGCTACAATTGTTTCCCTACACTAGTATTAAATATTTGAGTACAATGCTTATAAAAAATACGTTATATATAATAGGGTGTAATCGTTAAGTGTACCCAAGCAAGGTTGACCTACTTTAAGAGGTAACAATAAATTTACAGATAATAAAACTGCTACAAATAAAGTAATAAAAGTATCTTTCAATTGAATAAAAATATAATGGCATAGTCAATTATTTGGTCAAGTGGGAGTTGTCCATATAAATGAACATAATTGATCAAATTTTTTTTTAGTGCTGATCGACTCAGTTTCATGTAAGGATCATTTCATTATATGGGACGAAAAAAATCGAATGTCAAATTTAATCAGATGTTTTTCATACAAAATGAACAACATTTTATTAAATATATCAGTTTAAAGCTTTTTGATATCTTTTATATTTATGGAATAAGCGCTTGGGCACACTTAATGATTACACCTTGTATTATACGTATACAATGTACGATAGCTTAACTTTTGCACATTGGCAAGTCGCATGAAATGGGCTTATTTCACTAGCAATCCTTCTTTCTTTCTAGCCCCTAAGACATTGCATAAGTTGAACGACTTCAAATAGAATAATACCTGCCTACTTAATAGAATAACTTACTTTGAAAGTGTACGAGCTATGTTGCTCGAGCCGTGTGACGTTGCATGGATTAATTCGTCCGCAATCGTACTCCATCCAGTCGTTGTTACCAGTGCGCTCTGCTTCGCATCGTTCACCCCCGCTTGCTGCACCTCTCCCAGACACACGGCGGTACAGCACAAAATATTTCGTATTTGACAATCCACCGTTAAATCCATTCTCCCATTTCAAAGTAATGTAGGAAGGACCCACTTTCTGCACTGCAAGTGACTTCGGAGATTCAGGAGAACCTTTCGGCTGCAACCTAATCTGTGGCTTTATACTTCCCAAAGCATTCGTCACTTTACAGTAGTAATCCCCGTAGTCGCTCGGACTAACGTTCTTTATCCTTAACACACTGAGATAGGAGTCATTATTATTCGAAGTCGTGTTTATGTCATAGTGCCCATCTGAAGACATTTGAAGAGAGGAAGTGCTAGAACCTAGCAGCCACTGGAACTCTGGTTTAGGGTAGGCTAACACTCGACATGAAATCTCAGCGGACTCCATTAAATCATACGCTACTTTGCTCTGTTGTTTTATTGGTATTGGTGGATCTGCAATAACATAATAAGTAATTTTAATAAAATATACTTACTTAAAGCAAACTGATGAAATCAATGTGTACTTTTAACTGTTAACCTGCCTACTGCGTACAAAATAATAAAGCGTGAAAAATAACCGATTAAAAGCATATGTCAACAATCTGAGAAGTATATAAATCGTCGCCCTATAAAAAACACTAATTAATAAAATGTACTCACGTTCTATTCGCAAAGTCATCGAAGATTCAACTTTCTTAACTTCGTTTTCAAAAGTACACATATAGGATCCTCTATCCTCAGGTATTAAATCATTTGTGTTCGGTCTCGCTTTTCCATTGAATTTGAGAGTTGATTGCACATTGTACACGGAATTGCTAGATTCACGGTAATCAGTTTTTACTTCGTATAAATTGGCGTCGGGTTTTATTTCGGCATTGTCTTTGTACCATTTGACGTTGGGTCGAGGTTTACCGACCGCACTACATGAAACGGAAAAGTCTTCCTCCCTGGAACGTTTTGTAACGTGAAGGGGTAGTTTAGACTGGAAGTGAGGTGGTTGGTGGACTTCAAGAGTAACAGAAGCGAGATCACCATGTCCGAGTTCGTTTGTTGCTTGACAGCGATAAACACCTTCACTGCCCAAGTGAGCGCTGGGAATCGTATACTGATTTCCAGTGGCAAGGACAGCAGGTTTCGGGTCTGCAATACCGTTGTCACGGAACCAGCGGTATTGCGGCGCGGGCCAGCCCGGCGGTTTAGCGCTGCAGGTGAGAGTGACAGCGGTGCCCTCTTGTGCTACGGGCCGGTCTGGGCTGATGCGCGCGCGGCCGGGTTTGTGCCTCACCAGCACTGCCACCGATGCGCTGCTAGCTCTCTCCACACTTTTCCCACTACTCAATGATATAACATTAGCCGCTCTACAAACGTATGTCCCCGCCATATCTGCGTTTACTCTTCTCAACACCAACGTATTTCCTTTTTGATGGAAGTCAGCTTGTCCTTCCATTGTCCACTCTATGGAAATGGGTTCTGGATTAGCAGAGACCTCACAGCGAATTTCAACGGTGCCACCTTCTTCTGCTTCATAGGTTTTTGATTCAACTGTTACAGTAGGTGGGAAGAGTACGTCCAAATAGACTTCTTTTTCTCCGGGTCGGCCGAGGCCGTTATCGGCTGAGCATGTGTACTTGCCCGCATCTTGTACAGTAACACCGGGGATAGTGTGAGTGAAAGAGTTGGAGATGTATTTGCCATTTCTGGTCCATCTCACACTGTTAACTTGTGGTTTTGCGTCAACTTTGCACTCCATTACAGCTGTTCCATCGAGCTCCACCCGGAGTGGATTATCGGGACCGACTTCAACGCGAGGAAAATCTGAAACAAACATAATTACTTCACTAGAAACCGAATTAAGCTAGAAATTTTGATTCAGTAACTAAAATACCGAGATCTTGTAATATTTTGAGAAATTGTGAAAATCTTACTAACAATTTAGATGTTAAAATCGGGCATGTGTTTGGATAATTGGGATGGCAAAAGTATTGAAACCTTAAACAATGGCATTTTCATGTGTCTCCATATATTTTACACTTAAGTACAGTGAGTAGTAAAAAATCTTAGCAAGTTTTCGTTCATGTTGTTGGTGGGATTTTAAATTGTTTCAAGAGGCAATAAAATGTAAAATTTAGTTATTAAATTACCTGATTCAAAAAACTATAGGGAATATACTGCATCGTTATTCTATAGCAACTTAATTAACGCATGTTTAAATTAATTCTTAATTATTTCTCATTTTAAATATAATAAACTCATACTGTGTGTTTAATAGCATAAATATGTTTATTTCAGCAGCAAGCATCATCATTTAATTTCATGTGTTAAGAACCAACAAACGCTTGCAAATTAATAAGCTTATATATTGTACTTTCTCAACGGAACGCTCTTTCCGTACTCAGGGTATACATAGACAAGTATGTTACGTTTTCTTAATACAATTCCTCACATTCGTAACATAAGTATGTTACGAATGTGAGGTGCACCCCACGTAAGTACGTGTGGCGCACTATAATTTTCCGGAATGAATACGAAAAAAATACTGCGAATGATCAGAAATGAATTTATTGTTTCTCAAAATATTCTCCCTTAACGTTAATACACTTTTTCGAATAAACAAATTTTGAAAACATTTATGCCACTCCTCCGTGACAATCTCTTCAGGTGATGAAAATCGTTGACCGCGTAACTGGTTCTTAATTTTTGGAAATAAATAAAAGTCACAAAGTGCCAGGATCGGGACTGTATGCGGGATGACTCATAAGGTCAACGTTGTTCACCTTCAAAAATTCATTTGTCTATCTGGCCGTGTGAGAACTGGCATTATCGTGCTGCAAGATGATACGACGTTTACGATTATTTTTACGTAGTTAGTCAATAACTTCCGGCAAACAATTGGTCGTGTACCAATCACTATTCACGGTACAACGATTCTCCAAAGCAACAGTAGCCACGTGTCCAGTTTTATTAAAAAAAGAAGCAGCCATCCGCTTAGAGGCTTTGCACGCGCGCCACTTTGGTTGGTTTCGGCTCGTCTCGAAAAACCCATTCACTCGATTGCTTTGTTTTGGGTTTGTTACTATGTCCCACACCAAATTTGACGCCCCTTAGGTGAATCTGGTAAGCATGGCATTGCACCAAGTGACGCGATCCGTTTTTTGTACCTCAGTCAAATTGTGTGGGATCCACCGAGAGCACAGCTTTTTCACACCCAAATATTTGTGTAATATTGATTGTATTTGACTCATGCCTATGCCTAAAGATGCCCGAATCTCATGAATGTCACATGCCTGTCTGTTTTGATCATACGGCGCACAGCATCAATGTTTTTGTTGTTCACAGCAGTAGACGGGCGACCATCACGAAATTCGTCACTGAGATTCACACGACTGCGTTTGAATTCTGCAAACCAGCTATAAATAGTCGTCTTGCATGGTGCTTCATCGCTAAAAGCAGTTTGAAGCCGAGCGAAACTCCGCTGAGCTGTTATATTACACTTAAATTCGTAGAAAATCATACTACGAAAAATTTTCACGAGTTAAATCCATGATGATGTAGACAACCAATTTCTAAAATGACGCCACAATCTAAAAACAAGTGACAGTCAAATGAAACAAAATGTATTCTACAGTCAAAGAATTCCATTTGCAAATGATGTAATTACTTTTTAAATATTGTTCATGTAAGTGGCCAGTTCCAGAAACTTATAGTGCGCCCTATGTATCTCCTATCTCAAGTGCAGCGAATATGAGCACTTACAATGATATTGAACTGAGTTAAATACGCAAAATTCACATAATTCATATAATTTATATTTCATTAAAAATGTTAAAACTTTGCTCCTAAGTCACTATTTTCCGAGAGAGAATGAAAGTAGGTGCCGGAGTCTTGCTATGAAATTTATGATTACGAGTCTGGAGGTTTCTCCTTTTGAACAATGAACATTTTCATAAATAAAATATTTAAGATGGTTACCAGACCACTGGCAAAAGAGAACGCGGCAGTTGAATCAATGTATTTCATACTTTTGTTTATTTGATTGAGACCATGTGGTTTGTAGCATGTTGAACAGGGCTGCCTACGGCTCTGCGTTAATATGCAGAACCGCAATACGCTTATTAAAAAAAATAGATATTTGTAAAATTTTCGACAGTAATTCCATAAAGTATCTATTAATTTTAGGGACCTCTTTCTTTTACAAGAACGCGAAATCATAATTCACAAATTGGCGCCTGTAATTTGTATATATATAGCACAGGCAAATAAACTTCCAAGTTTCAAAAGATTAAGTAACTACCTAATAGTTCTAAAAAGTACTTTCCAAAAGTATTGTTGACCTCGCTACTAATATGTCAAAATCATAAAGAGGTAGCCCTTAAGATAGATGATAGGAAGCGGATGTGCTGTTGCTTATTTCAGTATCCCAATAATAAATTTGTTTACGGAGCCTGTCAGATTACAACATGCAATGCGAGGCGTTGAACTGCCTCATTCATTTTTTATTTTTATCATCATATAAGACCTATATTTCTCTTCCGCCAGTCAACTCCTGAAAACGACACAACGTTGAGAGCAAAACAAATATATCAAGAATTTCGAGCTCGGAGCTAATCTCTAAAAGAATTCATACAAAACAACAGGATCAAAACATCCCAAACCGGGCTTCCGAGATTTGGGTACCCTTTCGACTTTACGTATAATTCTGAGGGTAGGGTTAATCAAACTTAACAACTTTTGTTCAGCCACTTTTGGGCCTCCGTGTTCATTAATTATGTCTTTATAGCATGGTTCTTTCGCTTTTCAGCCGTTTTCAATGTTTACTCGGATGATATAAATAAGTAACATTTACACTTTAGGCATTTGTTTGGAGAAGGTAAAAAACAAATTTCGAATATACAAAAGCTTTATTTTTGTGTACATTTTCCATCCATTCAGAATTTTAAAACCAGTATATGGCCTGTAATGGGCACAAATCCTGTACCCGGTTTTTAACTTATAATAGTTTCAATTTATGGATGTACGCAAATTGTGTCGATTTATTTGCTTATGACCATTCAAGCCAGGGGCGGCCATTGAAATTGTAAGTAATTCACCTCTATATCGGTGCGCTCGTTTTTATAGGATTAAAACAAATTGGAATAAGTAGCTTTTCATTCAATTCAATAATTTTTTTTTTTAAATCATCGAACGGAAATAAACAAAATATTAGAAATCGCGGCAAGTCGGAGTGACACGTTTTGTTGTTTTTGGAAATGTTAACAATACCGATGCGGCGGCGTCGGGACACGGGTATAACTAAACGTGGTGTAGATATTAAGTAGGTATCTCTGGAAGATTATTCCATCAGTGTAAAAGACACATTACGAAAATATAAAACGTAAGCCTGCAAAGTATATTTTCTCGTACCGGTAAGTACAATGACTTTAATAACTTCTTACAAAAGAGCCGCGAAATACTGCTCTCGTACGATTAGTACGATAATAAATTCATGTAGTTGAACATTTTAAAGGTGCCGCATTCACACAAGGAAACCCAATTGAGTCGTCTTGTCAGCCGCCTGTCTGTCTCTCTGTACATTAAGTTCGTTGGTCCATCTCTCAGTGGGCTTATTCCCATCTGATCCCGGATCCGTTTTATTTTATATTATTATCTATTCCCATCGGATCACCAATGCAGGGAATTAAGAATAAATATTAATATTTTATTCCCACCTGATACCCTGGTACCGACAATTTTATTTTTGGTAGGTACTGTGGTACAGTCAAGAAAATGCATTTGAGGGATATACTGTATTATATTTATGTTTTTTAGAAATGAACAACATTAACTGTACTTTAATGGTCAAGGTCTCAAACCCTTTGTTATTTTCTTAAAAACTACTTGAGACTGATTTTTGTTACTTGTGATTTGTAATATATCAATATTAATGACCTGTCACAAAAAAGTTTGTGATAATTATAACATTAAACTTAAATTTTTAAATATCACTCACTTAAGATTCATTTTTTGTTAAATGTGATTAGTTATATGTCAATATTAATGACCTGTCACAAAAAAATTTGATTGTCTGTGATAATTATAATAGTTGATCACAATTGCTCAATAAATGAATATTTGCTTTCAAAACTTCTTTTTCTCTTTACTGTACTTACCTTACAAATACAATGAGGATCCGTTGGGAATTGGAAGACGTAGATAGGATCCGTTGGGAGTTGCAAGACATAGCGGGAATCAGTTGGGATTTAAAATTGGCGGTAATCAGTTTAGGGGATCAGATAGGAATAACCCTCACAGTGTGTCTCAATATTTGTGGTCTTTTATTGAGCATTTTATTTCTTGAGAACTTATATTTACAATTTATCAGTTTATTGTATATTGACATTTATATTGATGATTCGAAAACTAAAATAAAGACCAATAGACGATTTTCTAGAAAGGTAAACGAGTGGGAGGGATGTTGTTGATTGTTATTTAAAAAATGTAATAATTTTAAGTACTTAGATTTTTGCTGCTACTACACATTGTAAATGAAATAATTTTTCTAATAGTTTAATTTTCAATAGATAATTTGAAGCTTACATAGGAACCATCCATACCATATATACCAACCATAGGTAGCTAGCTATCTTGGTTCCTATGTAAACTTAAAATAAATTGAATTGTTAAATTCAATAAAAAACATATTATAAAAGTAGCCTAAAAAGAGCACACTAGTATACGTGACTACCAAGTGACTACAAACAGGTCACTTCGAACAAATTTGATATACTTAAAAGAAAGAATGAACCATTTATTCAAAAGAAAGAATGAGCCATTTAATT